AGTGGCACCAATACAAATAGATCAAAAAACAGATAAACATGGATTGGGTTTTCGGGAGGGGTCACTGAGACAATAAAAATTACTTGGAAATCAGAAAGGCCAGTATGGATTCCTCAGTGGCCCCTGACTAAAGAAAAGATACAAGCAGCCCATGATCTGGTCAAACAACAATTAGCGGAGGGATATATACAACCTTCTGTAACTCCCCATAATACTCCCATTTTTGTCATCAAAAAGAAATCTGGTAAATGGAAATTATTGCAAGATTTAAGAGCTATTAATAACAAGATGGTTATCATGGGATGTGCTCAATTGGGAATTCTTCAATTGTCTGCTTTGCCAAAAACCTGGTATGTTTTAGTTATAGATATTAAAGATTGTTTTTTTTTTTTTCAATTCCAATTCATCCTAAGGATAGTCCTCGTTTTGCATTTACTGTCCCTGCGCTGAATCATGAACGTCCTGATCAGAGATATGAATGGAAAGTACTCCCTCAAGGGATGGCTAACAGCCCAACTCTGTGTCAAATTTATGTTAACAAAGCAATCCAGCCACTTAGAAATCAAAATCCTGAACTACAAATATTTCACTATATGGACAATGTATTATTAGCACACAAGGATAAAAACACATTGCTAGAATATTATGCCACACTTACAAACTTATTAAAAAAATATAATCTAGAGATAGCAATAGATAAAGTACAATTAAATTTTCTAATTAATTATTTAGGAGTTCTATTATCCTTGACCATGGTCCACCCACCAAAAATTCAAATACAAGTAGATCAACTTAAAACACTTAACGACTTTCAAAAGTTGTTGGGAGACATAAATTGCATAAGGCCTTATCTAGGCATACCAACAGGAGAGTTGGGACCTTTATTAGATATCCTAAAAGGTCCATCGGATCCAAATTCACTCCGCATGTTAACGCCTGAGGCAAGAAAGACATTATAACTCATTGAAACATATATGGAAAATATGCATTTGGATAGAATTGATATGTTTGCCTTTATTATTTATTGTACTACGAACAAAAAATATTCCTACAGGAGTATTTTGGCAAGAAGGTCCATTATTATGGATACATTTATCTTATTCTCCTAACACTATTCTTACTAGGTATCCTGAGGCTGTAGGACAATTAATACTCAAGGAATAAAAGCAGCAAAGGGAGTGTTTGGAATTTCTCCTAATAAAATTATCACTCCATATACTATGGATCAAATTAACGAGTTAGCTAATGAGTTAAATACTTGGGCGATAATTATATGCAAATCTGTTTGTTCATTTGATAACCACTTACCATCTAATCCTTTGTTGTCTTTTTGGTCCTTGCATCCTGTAGTTTTCCCAAAAATGACAAGAAAAACACCTATCATGAATGCTCCAAATATGTTCACTGATGGGTCAAATAATAGTACAGCAGCAATAGTTACCCCTGATCAAGCTTTTACATTTTTAGTACCCAAACAATCAGCGCAAAAGGTAGAGCTTAATGCAGTATTACAAGCTTTTGTGATGTTTAAAGATTCTGTATTTATTTTCTGACAGTTTATATATAGTTAATGCTATAAATTCCCTTGAAGATGCTGGTAGGATTTTCCCTTCCTCTACTGTTTTCTCTTTGCTTTCTGCTATACAAAGTTTAATCTGGGACAGAAAAGATCCATTCTTTATAGGACATATCAGGGCACATACAGGATTGCCTGGAGCCCTTATTTTGGGCAATGATTTAGCAGATAAAACCACACATGACATACATATTTTTTCTATACTAGAAGAAGCTACAAATTTTCACAAATCCTTCCATGTCAATGCTAATACCTTGCAAAAGCGTTTTAGAATAACTAAGGAACAAGCTAGACATATAATAAAACAATGTCAAAATTGTGTGACCTTTTTACCAGAAGTTAATCTTGGAATTAATCCTAGAGGACTAAGATCTAATCATATCTGGCAGATGGACGTCACACATTTGTCAGAATTTGGAAAATTAAAATATTTGCATGTTACAGTTGATACTTCTTCCGGATATTTAATGGGCTCCCTTCATACCGGAGAAAAAACTAAAGATATTATATCTCATTGTTTACAAAATTTTGCCATTGTGGGCATTCCAAAACAGTTAAAAACAGATGATGGCCCTGGCTATACTTCTACTTCTTTCAAGCAATTTTGCTCCTCATTTGGCATTACTCACATAACAGGAATCCCATATAATCCACAGGGACAAGGCCTAGTTGAAAGAGCTCATCAAACTATTAAAATGTACTTATTAAAACAAAAAGAGGGAATTGGGAAGGGATATAAATCCCCTAAACATAAACTTAACATAACCCTTTTTACGTTAAACTTTTAAATTTGGATTCATAAGGACTTAGTGCTGCAGAAAGGCACGTGTGTCCAAAAAATGTACTTAAGCCAAAGTTACTTTGGAAGGATATTCTAACTGGACAATGGAAAGGTCCTGACCCAGTGATTGTCTGGAGTTGGAGGTCTGTTTGTGTATTTCCATAGGGAGAACAGCAACCAATTTGGATTCCAGAGAGATTAACTAAAGCGATTTCTACAGACCAAAAAGATGATTTGACTCAAATCCATAACAGCTGATATCCAGAACCCCTGTTTAGCTATCCTTACATCTGTGATAATGGTTCTCCTACACCTGGAGGCTAATGAGCACCATAAAGGCCTATTTCAAATGTAAAAAACCTTGAAGCTTACTTGTGGGAATACCTTCAAACCCATATGCAAGTTACAGGAAGAAGGATGGATGTCAAAAGAAGAGTCAAAACCAGGTGGTAGCCAGAATGCTTTTTTCTATTTTATTTTTTGAGCTCATACAGACCTAGGTTAATGTTTTTCTGATCAGTTTTATTTTTTAATCAACTGTGGAGTTTTTAAACATTGCAATGGAGATTTCACCTGTGAAAAGCTACAAGGCCTTTACTATTGTGTTACGTGTTCACACTTGTGTTAAGTGTTGTATGTCTGTATGTGCGTATGTCCATATATCAGGAGCGCTCATGAAAAAATGGATCCAAATCTTTTATTCACGTGATTTGAACAGTTTAATTTAAATTGGGTATTGTTTTAATATGTGTACAAAAAAGGAGGTTAACAGATCTGTTTACTTTCACCTTTCCTTTTCATATTAATAATTCTGTTCAGAATAATGTACTAAATTGTTCAGAAAATTGTTTTCTTGGTGTTTGCTGGAATGCTGCACAATTTTCTTTAGCCATTGTTGCCAGAATTCCTATCTTAAGACAAAAATAGAAGAATTTCCAGTATTACTGAAAAACTAAATGAGACTTCAGAATTACAGCTACCATCATCACAGCTGTTTCTGTTTCTGCTGCTGCCGCAACAGCTTCTGGAATAGCTATCACACAAACTGTATAAATTGATGCATCAATGAATAATGTAACTCAACAAGTAATGCTCAATCAAAAGAGTTGATTTGCTTTATTAATGGATTTCTCTGCTTTGAGCTGCTTACAGAACTTACCTGGACTGTGTATCACTTATATGCATTATGAACTGATACAACAAATTGTAATATTACCAGGGTATCTTTGCTGATGGTGTCATTGGTGGTACAGTTTTTCCAGGGGTTTCTCACTTGGAGCAGTCAATGGCTTGGTATCGTGGCATTTTGTATCCTCCTCCTTTCTGCTTGTGGCAGGTTGTTTATGGTGTTTGTGTAAAAACCACTATGGTCATTATCCACAAGTATGTCTAAATGTGTTGGGCCGGTAGTCAAAGACGGGTAAGATCCAATTACAATGGTACCAACCTAAGACAGGAGGCTGACGATTTGAGGTCAGATCATCCAATGAGGGTAAGAACCATATGTAGTATTGGACAACCTAATACAGGCACGGTCCCTAAGCCACATACTTGTTGTTTAATAAAACAAAAGGGAGGAGATGTTGGGGATGCAAATCAAGTCAAGATGGCGCCTGGCAGTTTGCCAGGAGGAGTGGTTTGTGAAGCAACGCCAGAGAGCCATTAAGATGATGAGGATTCCTTATTGGCTGACTGCTGTATCTAGATGATGTTAATTGAGTCAAGCTGTGTGTAATTAGTTAGGTATATATACCTCTGCTGTCTGGCAGAGAAGTGGTTCCCGCTACCTTGGGTGCCCGCTACTTTGAGTTCTCACTCAGTTCCTGCTTCACCCTTCAAGTTGCTCGTCACCTCTGTTATTTTGCCCAGCCGGACTGTGGCATTTTCCCATAGGGCTAGGTTTTTGGGTTTTTTTGTGGCTCAGTGATAGAGCGCTCACCTACCATGTATGAGGCCCTGGGTTCAAGCCCCAGCATCACATAAATAAAGGTATTGTATCCAACTACAAGTAAAAAATAAACTTAAAAATCTTTTCCCCTAAATCAAAAAAGCAGCATTTTTTATTTTAGTGTTAAGACTTTATTAGATATGAAATATATGGAAAGGATTTTCTGGGCTAGGTTTTTTTTTTTTTTTTTTGTACTGGAGATTGCTTTACCACTGAGCTACATCCTCTGCCATTTTTTGAGACAAGGTCTTGCTAAGTTGCTTAGGTCCTCAGTAAACTGCCAAGTTTCACCTCAAACTTGCAATCTTCCTGTCTCAGCCTCATGAGTCGCTGGGATTACAGGCATGCACCAAACATGCCCAGCTTTTGGAATAGTTTTATCATTTATTATACTGACTGCTGACCAGAACTAAGCATTTATTTGTTCATAGATGTAACAATGTTGACCCTGAAGGTAAAACAGGAACTGTTTAAGTTCAAAAATGATATTTCTCCTGATGGCTACTGTTCCACTGGACAACATGTACCAGAAACTGTCACAATTTAGTGCCACAAAGCGTCAAGAACCCCAGATCCTTTGTCCTTTGACACTAAAAGCCAATGTCAGCATAGGCCTAGGAAAGGCTGCTTTTACCATCACAATTTATAGCATTAAATGAAAATTTCCCTTTCAAATAACAGATAACACAATGAAATTTCAGTGCATTCTCAGCCCATGCTGCTTTATTGCTAAAAATATACATATACACAGGTGCAGAGTTTCCAACTCTTAAAACAGTTCCTTTTTACATCAAGGAATAAATATCTTCTTCAAAACTCCCAAAGATGCATAGATTAAAAAGCAAGCTGCCTTTTGTAATACTTCAAATATTCAATAAAATTCTTTTAACATCTTATAGACCAATGGTACAATGGAATATGTAGAATAGCACATAAATATAGTGGTCAAGTCCTGTACTTAGGGGACAGTAAATAAATTATTGATAATATACACTTAATATCCTGAACATTTTATTATGAAGATGAGTATGTGGTTTTAAAATAAACTCCAAGACTGAACTGTTTAAAGATTGAGATAACTGCCAGAATATCTTCCTGACCCTTGGGATAAAGAAAAAAAAATTTTTTTTGAGATTCTGGGGATTGGACCCAGGTACTCAGGCATGCTAGCCAGGTGATCTACCATTGAGCTACACACCAACCCTAAAATGTATTTTAATTGATGACACGCCACACCATAGGAGAAAAACATTTTGAAAATCATAATCATAAGCCAACTATTCTTTTAAATGAGTAAAATTTAGTTTCTGGAGAAATTTCGTTTGAATTTTCATTTTCCAAATAATCTAAATATGCTTAGTGAATAACAGGGAGAGTCTAGACCTTAAATCTTTATTGATTGGCAGACATGTTATCTGTAAGTGGCAAAGAACATTTACATACGGGATACACCTCACTTTCTATATTTCTGTAGAAAGCAAACATCTTAATGACAAACCTAAATAAATTCTGAACCACTGAAATCACCATTCCATTTAATACATCCCAAAGATATATGTAGCAAAGTCCTGAAGCAAATACGAAGTTGATTTCAATCATAGAACATGAAACCTGGAAGAGCCTAATGAAAATCATGTAGTCTTATCCTGAATTCTCTATTTAGGCTTCTTTCAGACATTATGAATTACATTTGTACATTATTTCTTATAATCACTAGGGTTACTACTTCTAGGTTCTTGTTTTCTTTTGCAACCCAGGGCCTTGCGTGTTAGGAAAGCACTCCACCACTGTGCTACACCCCCAGCCCTTATGCTACCACAATAAGCTGATGTTTTTTCATAAAATAAATGTCAAGATTATCATTATTTTTGAAAGAGAAAAGTTTTCACCTGTGTACCTGGGATCAAAAACTCTTAGGGAAGAAACTGCATTCTCACCAAGTCAGGCATAAAACTCTGGTTATTAATAAAAAAGTTTTGAATACAGTAACAAGAAACTACATATCAGCAATTTCATAACTTTATAGATGAATGTCTCCCTTGCAGGATCCCTTATAGCTGATCAGTATCATCCAGAACAGTTGCTTAAAACATCTAAAATATGCGTATATTACTTTTTGTGATGTGATTTCACTATGGTGCCCACGTGGGCCTCAAAATCCCGAGCTCAAGTAATTTCCTCCCCTTAGTCTCCTAAGTAGTTGGAAGTCAGGTATGTGCCACAACACTTGGCTCAAGATACTAGTTTTTCTCCCCTCCCAGGAGGGGTGAATACTGGAGATTGAACCCAGAGGCACTTTACCACATCCCCAGCCCTTTTTATTTTTTTGATAGGGTCTAGTCAAATTGTTGAGTCTGAAATTGAATTTGTGATCCTCCTGCCTCAGCCTCCTGAGCAGCTGGGATTACAGAGGCGTGCCACCATGCCTGACTCAATAACTAGTTTTAAGAAACCCCAAACAGGTCTACATAAACCTTATCAGACAAACCCCATACCTTTACAGACTGCACACTAATTCCCTACGTTGCTATCCTTTCTGAAACTCTGCACCTTTCTGATTATTATAGCCACTGCAGCTCATTCAACATGCTTAGTTTGTGTCTTGTTTTCAAACATGCTTGGGGGGGTCTATTGGGACTAGGAAAGAGGTGAGGGTAAGCAATGTTATGTCCTAATCCTGACAGTTTGAATGTCTTGTGGGTGCCCCTGTTTATCTTTGACTTCCCATTTTGAATGGAAGTAAGATAATTTTAATTAGAAAATTAAAACTAATAATTCAATAAATTCAAGCTATTGGTTTAAGTATCTATTGCTTCATTATTAAATGCATATATAAAATTACTAATAATAACCACATAACACTGAAAAATTTCAGTCATGCATTAGAATATTAGTATTCTAAAATCAGTATGGACCCACCACTATTGCTTATACTTTCAATCAGACCCAGCTTTAATAAACATGCAGAGTAAAACCCTTGATTCAGAAGAATTATGGAAAATAACAAGGAGACATGCAAAATTTCAACTGAAAATTTGAGTTAATAAAGTAATTGCTTAGAAATGCAAGCAGGTGCTCCAAATCTTCACAATGCTACTTCAAAAAAGAAGTCTAAGCATACACAAAAAGTTTAAAATTAGGACCACTTCAGTTATAAAAGGCTTATATGTAAATCCTGGCCCTTTTGGATAAAGAACCATGTAAAACCCTTAGATAAAGAAAAGAGAATTAAGAGATGCACAGTCTTATGTAGCAGTAAGTTTTCTTGGCCATTTATTGACAGCCATATCATAGAAAAACATGTAATATATGGGATGATGAAGAAGCTCTTGGGCAGAATAGTTTCTTTTCTGATTCACATTAATGAGCATTACCTGTACAGCTCCCTGGGGAAAAGTAGTTGAAGGGCAGAGCTAATACAATGTAAACTCAAGCATCAGTGCCCTGAAATTTAGCATAGCCCTCTGCTTTTAAAAACTATTAGCCAAGGGATTCTTCCAAATTGTATAATTAATAGCCAAGCAATGTTCTGAAAAAACTAGAAGCAATTTGCTTGCACCAACAGCACCATGAGAATGTAAACTCCTGAAGGCCAAGGGTCTCTTCATATTTTGCATATGACAGGTACATAAGAGTAAACATGAGACTACAATAACTTTGAAAAGCATTTAACCACATACTTTGAGACTACAAAAACTTGTAGCATACTTTAGCAGTTAGAACTATTAACAACATGGTTGTTAAGGATAATCTTTAGCTGTTTGAAATAAGTGTTGACATCAATGTAATTAGTAGCCATGTCCTCATGATCATGCAGATGTCTGAATATTGCTTGACTGTTCCAATGTCTAACATGGACTGACAGTATAGGACATTTAAAGAGAAGCTACAATCAATATAGCCCTTCCTTGTCCATTGGAGTTGCCATATAAGAATTAAAGATTCAAGTGATTCCGAAATCTATAATGCTTATCTTTTAGTCCCCCTGCCCCAGGAAAACAAAGGTACACAGACCTTTTCAGGGACCTTCAAGGTGCTAAATGGCCAAGCTTGGACATGAGGTAAAGTAAGTAAGAAGTCACCCTAGTTTCACTGTTACATCCTGAAGTGAGTTGTGCAATTCCTCAGATCAGGAAAGTAGTTTGCTAGGTTCTCCTTAAAATAAGTAGTCAAAGGCCACAGGCATTGTCACAACTGCATTAAACAAGGTATCACAAAACCAATAGTCTTTGGCTATTCCCCAGTCCTCCTGCTTCTTACCTTTAAATCATAACTTCCTTAATCATAAACATGAGGAAAAGCAAGCTAAACAAGTTCTTGGCTTTTAAAAATTTTTTTAAACTCTAATCTCTCTCTCTCTCACACACACACACACACTTTTCCTCTTTAAAAATGTACCCAGGAAGCCAAAAGAGAAAGGTGACAAAGCAGAAGAGAATACCATTCTATACAGTGAATACCTATTGTAACATGGAAAAACCAAAGCAAAAACCCCACCTTGACTTCACTGGGGCTGTAGAGTGCATTTGTTTCCATATTAAACACTAGAAGGATTTCACTTCAATAACTCCAACCCTCTGCTTTAAGAAACAAATAGGGTCTTTAACCTTGAAACATACACAAAAGTTATTTCTCATACAGATATAGTCATACATTCATACTGTTTTAATTAAAAGAAAGTACCTTTTATATGCTCTGTACCTAGATCATCTTTTTCATTTTGTTAACTCTGTTGATCACAGAGCCCCACAAACTCAAGTAGTAATCACTTAGTCTACTGTACAGCAAATGCAGTGTATTATACATGCAAAACCGTTATTGCTGCTAAAAGTCTACCTCTTGAAAATTATTAGTTCATTTTATGGCTTTTTAAAAATTTTTGCAACAGAAATTTCCTTTCCTATACACTGTGCTGTTTTATATTCATTACCTTTTTCAGAGTTTTAAATTTTAAATTCTTTTCAGAAATGGATCTTCCCAGGCACAAAACTTTAAGTACACTATAGGGATCTAAACCTGGGTCCTCCAGAGATTTACTACTAAAATCTACTTATTATAGATTGCTTGTTCATGAGGATGCACCACATTAGAACAGTTTTGCATTTCCTAGCTTTCTAATGTAGAATCTGTGCTAATAAATCGTGGACTCTTAGTACTGAGATTTGAAAAACACTTCAGAAAACTAACAATTCCCAGTTCTCAAGACGACGATTAGAGGTAGGAATTTCTTTTTACAAAAAACTATCTTTTGCTTTCAAAACAAAAATGACTGTTTTATTTCTATAAGGGAAAACAGAAAAAAGGGAAAGTTATCTGTGGCTTACTGTAACCAAGGGCAAGAGTCCACTTATTATTATATGGCAACGTAGGTAAGCTCCATTTAACTATGTTTCCAATGCTCATGAAAAGGTCTGGAATCCCATCAGTAAACAATTTAGCAGATTCAGAAATAGAAGAGGCTGAAACAATCTAGGACACTCCCAAACCATTGATATTATTCTTGCATTAACACACATGCTGCTGACAGGATTAGCAAATAGTCTGCAGATTATATAAGCACTCAATGAAGCAATTACAGCATCTTAGTAGGACATGCAGAATGTAAAACTATTTGTAGATGCAAAAGGAGTAAGAATGAACCCAAGACATAATATGAAAACAGTATAAGAACAAATTGACCTCAAATTAACAGCAACACAGAATCATGAAAATGGGGCCTCATTTTGACTTGAGGTTTTGTGAGATACAAGGCTAGCTGTTTCTAGCCAGCTCATGGAAAGCATTTATGTCCTCAAATACGATGTTTCTAATGGTGAACCCACATTTCTATTCATAAACAATTGTTTTTGTCCTTAATCTCCTTTCCCCAGGGAGAATATCACAGATTCAGGTATTTATGGGAAGAAAAAAAAAGTCTTATATAGAGTTTCAACTCTTTTTACACTATTGGTTATTATCAATAACTCATCCTGAAGTTTAAAATTATTACTAGGATCATGCACTAACCCCTAACATGGCACTATAATATGCTACCAAGCACTAATGCTTACAAAACTATACACATCTCAAAATGGAAGACATTGGTGATTTTGTTGTTCTTAAACAACTTGTAACATTTGTCCACAAGTATTAAAATATACATATATATATTTCTATTGCACATATCCCGTTTTTGTTTGACTTTTCAAAGGATAAACTGCCAGCTAACATGGATGAGCAAAGCAAAGGAAGCACAAATGCAGATTGAAGCATTTCTAAAATTAAGTTTTTGCCATCAAGAAAGGGACCAACAGACCAGAGAAAAATGCAAATGTATTAAGTAAATACTGGGCAACTACAACTGGAATATGCCCATGTTGTTAAACGTCATCTAATGTCAATCATGTAAGATGTGGAAACATTTCCTTTGAAAGATATCATTAACACTGGTTCTCAGTTATAAGTTGAAAAAATGCTGAAGGAGGCAGGTCTGACACCTGTTCAAACAAGTGGATCAGAGTTGTTCCACTGGTGCTTATATCCCTTGCCCCATGACCCTACCCAAAAAGTTGCCAAGAAGACATGGGGGAGATGGATATGACACCTAGAAGGTACAAATTCTCCATGATGACATTCCCAACATAACAGTGGGATATATGTATATAGGCTTTCAGTCTTTAACAAGTCCAAAATAGTAAAGGAAAATATCAAGAAGTGGCATAAGGGGTTATTTAAAGAAAAATCTAAGTTACCTTTAACCAAAGTTATTTCTCTTATCTCTCTCAGTAAATGCTCTACATTAAAAGAAATTTTTAAAAAATTATATATATATATATTTTATCTACACTATGTATTTTGTGAAAAAGCTTTTTTATTCTAAATCAAATTAGTTCACCAATCTAATCATAACAATGCTCAACATTTCCCATTTTGGCAATTTCTATCACTCTCAATTTTTGGTAAATCTGCCCTGTGTTCCCAACATCATCGCACCCATGGCCCTCAGCAACCATTCCAGAAAACAAAGATGATCTAATTATACTACCTGTTCTTAATTTCATCTAGTAAGTTTAAAATTCTTTCTCTACTAAGAATCATTAATAAAGTGTCCATGCTTCTTATGAAAGGCTTGATATCATACAATGCTCCTGTTTGTTTGAAAGCAAGAACAGTTTTCCACTCTAGTCTTCATCATATAACTGTTAAAGGGGAAAAAAAGAAGGAAGATCCATATTTCTTGTTTTTGTTTTCTTTTTCCCCAAACCCTGAATTTCTTCTCAATCTATAATGAACGAAACACAAAATCCACATTTCTTAGTGGAACTATTTTTCTTATTTGAGGTTTTTTTTTTCAGATCCTGAATTTCTTCTAAATCTACAATGAAACCAGTGGATTGACAACATTGGTTCTGAGATAGACCCACTCGGTAACGAGAAAGTCCAATTCCAACTGGGGAAATTTACCTGAGTCCCAGCCTTTTCAGTTTAACATTACACCTACCACCTAGAAAAATAAATCCAAGTACCCATCTGGGTTGAGAAAAGAGTTACTTGTGACTTTATAAAAAATGGAACTATGTAATGTAAAATTCCAAAAAAGTCAAATGGTGCTACATAAGACATTTTTCTTTTTCTTAGGAAAAAGGAGTTATATGGAAACTTCTCATTATCTTTTTCTTCTCTTCTATGTCCAAAGTTCAAAGCAGGTCATACTATAGGGTCCATCTCACCTTCTTATCTAAAAAACTACTCGTGCTACTTTTATTCCAGTTTTGGCCACACGGAAAACTAACTCTACTGTGCTATATGACTCCAGAAAACAGGATGAATAAAACTGTAATACAGCAGCCTCTCATCTTAGGAAGGTGAACAGGGTTCCATCATGGACTCAAACTGGGTTGTTCGCTTTTACCATTCTTTTAACTAAATGTAAGCATGCACTCACTTAGCTGCTACACAATCTGGTCCTTCTGTAGAAGAATGAAAAAATTTAAAAAGAGCAAATGTTCCAAGACTTGAAAAAGTAAATAACAGGTTCTGTCTCCAGGAGAAAAACCCCTCCTTTCATCCAAAAATGTGGATTTACACATGTAAAAATATGTATTTGTACAGATTCTCTTTAGGTATCAGATATGAAATCAATCTTGATATCTTGTCTTTATGCTTCTTTATCACACCAAAGGGTTAACTGCAAAACTGGACCTTCATTTCTATCCAGTAAATCTGTCACAAGATGAACCAGGATATAGAGATATATGTAACTTTTTAACATCTTTTTCTTTTCAAATTACAACAAATATTTGGAATTTACTGCTGCAGTCTCAAATGTGCTTATCATAATAGTGGCCGAAACTGGAAGACATTTTTTTAAAAAACCTGAAGTCATCCATACTTGCCATTTATTAGTCTTCTTGTTTGGAGCAAAAGGCTAAGAATTCACAAATACCACAACCTAAGCACCTGTTTCAAATTAAACGTCAGCCTTCAGCTTGCAAAATAATTTTTTGATAATTAAGCAAATTGCAGAAGACCCATCAATTGCTTTTTTTCTTCCGGGAGAAGTCAGCAGGATAACTGCACCCTAAGGGCTTCTTTCTGTGTTGAATTTGAAAGATGGAACAAAAGAAAAGCAATCTTTTCCAATCTAAACCATGGAGGTAATGTGTAGAAAGGTATCCATATTTCAGTAGGGAAAGTGGCTGGATAAAAGAAGCAGGACTACCCGCTCTAGAAGACAACATAGAAATACCTAGAAATACAAAATAAATTAAAAATAGAAAGATTAGGACAGGTACTTCTTCTACATGAACTTATTTTTTAAAACAATATTTAAAATATACATAAAAAAACTAATACTTTGGATTATACTTTATAAGAAAATGCCCAACCATCACACCAAATTCAATATTGTCTTTTTTTTAAAACTGGGGATTGAATCAAGAGGTACTTAATTACATCCCCAGCCCTTTTTATTTTCTATTTTGAGACAGGGGTCTCACTAAGTTGCTCAGGGTTGGACATTTTCTTATGATAAAGAATTTAACTGGCTTTGTCCTGGGAACCTTAAATTCTCAGAATTTAAAATCAGTGAGCCAATGGAAAGTAAACTCTATCTAAATAATCAATGGGTGAAAGAAAAAAAATCAGAAATTAGAAAATATCTTGAGATAAATGAGAAAAAAAAAATACTAAAAATTTTCAGAGCTGAGCATATTTACGGACACCTATAATCCCAGCAACTTGGGAGGCTAAGGCAGGAAGATCACAAGGTCAAGACCAGCCTCAGAAACTTATTGAGGCCCTAAGCAACTTAGCAAACCCTGTCTCAAAATACAGAGGGCTGGGGGATGTGGCTCATCGGTAAAGTGCTTCTGGATGCAAGCTCCCATATATAAAAGCAAAAACAAAATTTATGTATATAGTGAAAGTAACACTAAGAGGGAAATGTACAGCTATAAACATCAACATTAAAAAAGACCTAGGGCTGGGGAAGTAGCTCAGTGGTAGAGAGCTTGCCTAGCATGGGCAACGCATGGTTTTGATAGCCAGTACTTTGAACAAAATAACAATGAAATCTAAGTGAATACATTCTAAAACTTGCATAGTAATATTTATTTTTTAATCAGTTCATTTCCTTCCATCTAATTAAACCTATGTTTCTGATAGCCAATGAAAAATTATAGGTTAGGTAACTGATAAAATTTTTCCTTTTTAAATTTTTTATATTGCTTCTGTTAAAATACAGAATATGCGCCAGGAGTAGTGGTAGTCTATAGTCCCAGCTACTAGGGAGGCTGAGGCAGGAGAATCATTTGAGTTTAGGGCCATGAGTTTAGGGCCATGAGGGCAACATAGCAAGACCCTGTCTTTTTAAAAAACAAGGATACATATGTAAATAAAGTACTCAGCTATCAATAATTTATAGTCAATTTAATATTCACCTTTTGTTGCTGCTTAAATATTATTTGAAATGATTAGCCTACTGCTACTTACCAGCCACATCCTGAGTTCAGAATTTTGTTTTGAGATGAATAAAAAGCACCTAAATGTAAGGAAAGTGTTCATCCTGTGTGACAAGAATTCTGAAAAATAAAAATAACATTAAGGTAAGGATATAGCCATCACTGGTGCTATATGTACTACTATAAAAAACTCACTAATACAGGGGCTGGGATTGTGGCTCAGCAGCAGAGCCTAGCATGTGCGAGGCCCTGGGTTCGATCCTCCAGACCGCACTAAATAATGAAGATATTGTGTCCAACTACAACTAAAAAATAAATATTTAAAAAAACCACTAATACAAACAATTCAGAAGAAACAATTAGCAAAAAGTTACTCTCTACTGCACTGGCACCTACTTTCAAAAGATGTCAAAACTCTTGAAGTGGTAGATTTATGAAACACTTTCCTCTTTTCCTGATGAGACTATCAAACTTTGTTCCTCCCCGGAAAATGTATAATGGTGCATAATATTTCCAGTAGTTTATAGTCATCTACTTTGCTTTAGTATACATACACTCTCCTCTGTAAGAATGTTACATTATTTTCTTCTGGCCAGCTCTTTTTTCCTTCTCTTGGATGAAATGAAAAAACGGACAAAAGCAACAAAAAAGTCTCAATTAGAAGTGCTTCTTTACGCTATTTTCAGCTCTCCTAAATCCAGGGCCAGCAAAGAGCACATAATCTATAAAAAACATTCATTTGTATTAATATTTCCATTTGAACTCGACTCAACTAACCTGTCACAGTTTTAATAAGGCCTTACCAATTCAGAAACCCATTAGCAGAAACGCATGGAATTTAAATAAGATCCAACAGGGGTTATAACACTCCAAATTAGGAATAGATACCCCATAGAGTTAAAAAGGAAAAGAATACAAATGTCTGACAGTACTGATGCTATGCAACCTGAACACCTTACACAAATTACTTTCTAATAACATTGTCCAAACTATTTCTCTTTGTTTAAAAAAGCTCTGTAAACTCACTCCCTTACTTTTGGATCAGAAATCAACAGTGAATACCACTGTGACCTAGCTTCAGCCGAAATTAAAGCGTCATACAGCCATTATAAGACTTTCGAGGACAAGGACAAAGCTGCTTTCTCGGGATCATAAAAGTTTGGGAGGTAGGAGCAGAAGCGATTGGATATACTATAGGTTCGAGGGGATGTCTGAGATACACAAACGCTAATGAAAATCCAGGGGTAACCTGTTACACGAAATCTCAAGGTCAACGGGCTGGAGAAAAAAATACTCAGGGCCACAAAAGGCCTCAAATGACACTGGAGCCTTAGACAACAGCGTGGGCACCAAGTCGTGAGACGAAAGATGAAAATAAATCAATAAAACAAAGAAATTCTTAAAAAAAAAAAAAATCGGTGGCCGACAATCGGCTGCCACGAAAGCCCAGTATGTGTGAAATCCCCTAGGAACAAACCGAAACACAATGGCAGGCAAAGGCAAGGCACAGGGAAGGGCGGGGAGCCGGGAGGAGGCTTGAACAAGTAGACTGAGGAACACACCGGGACGGCGGTGTGGATTGCCCTGGGGCGGCCAAGGATGGCAATTCCAGCTTGGAAGGGCTCTGTTACCAGCAGGCTCCCGCACACTCGGTGCCCGGAAGGCTGGGCAAGACACAGCCTCCTTGTCCCCTCGTAGTCTCCCTTCTCGGCTCACCTCACATGGTCCATCAGACGCAGTCGGCTTCCCGAGGGCCTGCACGCCCCCGGCCCAGAGGCCAAACGGCCAAATGGCCGAGGCACTCCTCACTCCGCCATCTTCGCTTCTTCTCACGTCTGCCAACCCGGCGACGGGCGGCTCCCACAATCCCCGCCCCCTCCTGAGTATTGATTGGACAACAGCTTGCTTTCTCGCGCGCGCGTTCGTCTTCCGCCACAGGTTGGCTGAAATGCACGTCAATCAATAGCGTTCTTCCCTCATTCGATCTTTTTTTTTTTTTGATAGATTAGGTCATTGGATTGAGGTAATTGGGGAAAACGCCTTTGTAATTCATTTTTTAGGAATGTAAAATTATTTCCGCGAAGAAGCAGTGACACATCTTACTGAGATAGTGTGATTAAAGGTGTGACTATTTTAAGCTACTGTTAGGTTAAACTATAGTACTAATGATTTCATTCTCAGATCCCAAGTTTATTAATTCTAGGCGTTAACACAACACTTAGGGAAACAATGGTTCCACTTGGTCTCTGGCTTTGATCCAGTTACACTTTTTTTTTTTTTTTGACCAGGGATTGAACCCAGAGGGGTTCAACCACCGAGCCACATTCCCAGCCCCATTTATTTATTTATTTATCTATTTATTTATTTAGAGGCAGGATCTCGTTAAATTGTTTAGGACCTTGCTAAATTGCTGAGGTTGGCCTTGATTTACGATTCCTGCCTCAGCCTCCCGAGTTGCTCGGATTATAGGAGTTGTGCCACCGCGACCGGCGATCCAGTTGCATTCTTAAAAAGCCTAAATGTTGGCAATTGTTCCCAGCTTATATGTTGTCTTTAGATCAGGAACACATGGGGCTGGGGCTGCTGCTCAGTGGCAGATCGCTTGCCTAGCATGTGTGAGGCACTGGGTTTGATCCTTGGCACCGCATAAAAATAAACATAAAATAGGAGCATTCTGTTTACAACTACAAAATAATTTAAAAAACAAAAAAATTAAAATTAAAAAAATAAAAGATCAGGAACACAGCAAGGACATGGACTCCCACCGTTTCTATTCAACTTATTCTGTTCAACTTTGTAGTAGAGGGGGTAGCCAGTAGGAATAAATAAAGGTAGAGAAACATAAGACATCCTGATTGGGAGAAATAAAACTGCCTTTATTCAGAGATGGAATGATCCTTTGTAGAAAATAATAAGGAATCCACAAAAACCAAAACTTGTATGTTTGTCACGGTCCCAGCATACAATCAGTATAAGAAAGCCAATTGTATTTGTGTTTACCAGAGGCTGAGACAGGAGAATGGCGACTTCAAAGCCAGCCTCAGTAAAAGCAAGGTACTAAGCAACTCTGAGACCCTGTCTCTAAATAAAATACAAAATAGGGCTGGGGATGCAAACCCGGAGCCTCACACATGCCAGGCTGAGCCCCAGCCCCAGCCCTTACTCCTCATCCTTTTTAAAAATTTTATTTTGAGGCAGGATCTCCATTTCACCAGGCTGGCCTTAAATTTAGGATCCCCCTGTCTCAGCTTCCAGTGAGCTGAGACTAGAGGCCTGTGCTACCACTCCTTGCTCAGGACAGCCACTTTTGAAAAAGAACAAAGTTGGAGGAATTCACTTCCTAGTTTCAAAAATGACTACAAAAGCTATAGTAATCAAGATGATTTAGTACGGTCATAAGGATAGGCAAATAAGTCAATGGAACAGAACTGAGAGCCCAGAAAGAAACTGTTAATTTTCAACTAAGATAATACATAGGGGAAAGGATAGTTCTCTTCAATAGAGGATACTGAAAGAACTGATTGATAATAAAATCAGTTTATTAAAATATCTCCATGATTGCTCAAGATAGCCACTGTCCCAAGCCCATGTCCTCTTTATTGCTTCACACACTCAGGATCCTCCCACATCTGCCCTTTATCCAGCAACTGAAGGGTTACAGCCCAGCAAAGCAAAGGATCTCCAGGACCCTGCTTTAACCTTTTTTTTTTTCTGATTAGTCATTGCAACATTAATTGTAAAATATTTTCAAAATAAATTCCAGACACAGGTGTTTTTTCTTCCTTGGGTGCAGACAACTAGAAAAGAACCAAATGCAAAATATATGATGTCAACTCTGACAATACAGACTACATCTCATTCATTTCCTTCTAAAACCCACCTCATTTCATGTTTAGAAATTGTGTGTTCCTAAAAGAAAAACAAACTTGTTTATCAGCTCCCATTTTTGTAAAATACTATTACTACTAAGACATACTTTTTTTTTTTTAAGAGAGAGACAGAATTTTAATATTTTATTTTTTAGTTTTCGGTGAACACAACATCTTTCTTTGTATCTTTAGTTTTCCGCAGACACAACATCTTTGTTTGTATGTGGTGCTGAGGATCGAACCTGGGCCGCACGCATGCCAGGCAAGCGCGCTACCGCTTGAGCCATATCCCCAGCCCAAATTGTGGGGGGCTGGAGAGGCTGCAGATATAGCTTAGTGATAAAGCACTTGCCTACCATATGCAAGGCCCTGGTTTTGATCCCCAATACTGCAATTAAAAAAAAAAAAGACATTCTTTAAGCATTTCTATCAAGATCTAATTTTGGGGATATTGTTCCTAATTTGAATAGTTCTAGTTATTAGGAACTTCTTCCTTAGAATAAACTAAAATCTGTCACCCTTTTATTTCTATCCACCATTAAATTCAATTAAATTTTATATATAATACTTATAGCAGGCACCAATTTAATCCTCACAGCAACCCATGAGGTTGGTATCATTATCATCATACTTATAAACCTTATTTTATTATGGAGGAAAAGGATATAGGAAGGTTATATGAATTGCCTAAGTTCATATAACTGCTTAAGTGGCAAAACCAGGATTTGACCCACCCACACATTGCTGAATTATATATTAAACTACCCTATTATGTCCTCTAAAAAGTAAGAGAGCCTTTTGAAAACAGATTCTTAACAATTTGAATATAGCTAGTGTGGCTTTTTTAGGGTTAAAGTCCTGGTTCTCACCACTGCCCAACCTGAGTTGCCCTGAATCCCTTTACCATTTTGCTTCTTAGAAACACATTTTGACAGTATCCTTCTTTAATTTTTTAAATTTATTTTTTGGTAGTGGGGATTGAATCCAGGGGCACTTAACCATGGAAATTACAGACATGTATCGCCATGGCTATGCCCTGCTTGTTCTTTAATTAAAAGGTAATGGCAAGGCTGGAGATGTAGCTTAGTGGTAGAATGCTTGCCTGGTATGAGCAAGACCCTGGTTCAATCCTCAGTACCACAAAAACAAGTAGCCAGGTGTGGTGGTGCACAACTGTAATCCTGGTAATTTGGGAGATGGAGATAGGAGGATTACAAGTATAAGGCCAGCTTGAACAACATAGTGAGATACTATCTCAAAGTAAAATAAAAAGTAGAGCACCCCCCTGAGTTCAATCCCCAGTACCACCAAAAAAAAAAAAAAAAAAGTGGTGAATTTGAAATTTGTGATATCTTAAAATACACAGGTGTGTCTTACTTGCTATCTTTTTAAAGGCTAATTAGAATAATATGCATTTGTCCTCTTCAAAGTCTAGGCAGCCCACATCTGTAATTCCAGCAGACAGGAGGATCACGAGTTCAAAGCCAGCTTCAGCAACGGTGAGGCACTAAGCAACTCAGTGAGACCCTGTCTCTAAGTAAAATATAAAATAGAACTGGGATGTGGTTCAGTGGTTGAGTGCCCCTGAGCTCAATCCCCAGTACTCAAAAAATAAGAAAAAAAATAATAAAACATAAAAAAGACTGGAGATGTGGCTCAGTGATTAAGCATCCCTGGGTTCCATCCTTGTTATTTACCAAAAAAAAAAAAAAGGAAGGTAGCTCAATGGCAGAGTGCTTGCCCAGCAGGAATAGGTCCTGGTATGACAAAAACAAAGTGAGGGATTGTGATTCCTCTAAATTTGTTCCTTTAAAAAAATTTTTTTTAGGGCTGGGGATGTGGCTCAAGCGGTAGCGTGCTTGCCTGGCATGCGTGCGGCCCGGGTTCGATCCTCAGCACCACATACAAAACAAAGATGTTGTATCCGCCGATAACTAAAAAATAAATATTAAAATTCTCTCTCTCTCTCTCTCTCTCTCTCTCTCTCCTCTCTCTCTCTTTAAAAAAAATTTTTTTTTTTTAAATTGGGTATTGAACTCAGGGGCACTTGACCACTGAGCCACATCCCCAGCCCTATTTTTGTATTTTATTTAGAATCAGGGTCTCACTGAGTTGCTTAGCACCTCGCTTTTGCTGAGGCTGGCTTTGAACTCGTGATCCTCGTGCCTCAGCCTCCCGAGCCGCTGGGATTAGACATGTGCCACCATGCCCGGCTGCTCCTTTTTCAAGACCGTTTAATCTTCTAGATTCTTGGTGTATAGTTATTCAAGTATCATTTTAATAGACATCAACTACAATCCAATCCAATTTCTTCCATTTTAACCACATGAATTCAATGAGACCCAGCCATGTTTTACTGATGTCAGCAATGCAGTACCTATATCACTGATCTTACACACAAATTTAAAAAGTCTTTGAAATATATGAAAGGGAAAGTAATTTGGCATACTTATTTATTTGTCAAAACATTCACATCTCACTGGGCATGGTGGTGCACACCAGTAATCTCAGTGACTGAAGAGGCTGAGGCAGGGGGATCATAAATTCAACACCAGCCTTAGCAATTTAGCGAGGCCCTGTCTCAAAATAAAAATATTAAAAGGGCTGGGGATGTGACTGAGTGGTAAAGCATCCCTGGATTCAATCCCTAGTACCAAAAACCAAAAAAAAAAAAAAAAAAAAAACCAAAATATACATTAGAATCTTGCCGTGTATGATGGTGACTCAAGAGGCTAAAGCAGGAGGATCTCAAGTTGAGGCCAGTCTTGGCAAGACCTTGTCTCAAAGATTAAAAAAAGAAAAAAAAATGTGTGTGTGGTGGGATGCTTAGACTGAAACTCAGAAGGTAGAATGCTTCTGAGTAGCTCAAACAAACAAAATCCCAAAACAAAAAATGTCAGCATCTCAGTTATCAATTTCTTCTCTATATCTTCACAAACCATGAAATGATTCTAAAATTCTCTTGAGAGATAATGTAAATTAGAGTAAACTGTTTCTGAAATCTA